GCTACACAAGTGTGATTGATTACTTTAATGAAGAAAGGAGAGAGAAGGGGGGGGGGTTTGCAGTCTCTTTATATTGAAATAAAGCTTGGTTCTCTTTGGGATGTTTTTTATCAATATGGTTGTCTTTAATTAACTTATTTATTTGTTTTTCTCATGTGATTGACATCTTGTTAAGTGCAATAGGTTCATTATTTTCTTTTTGAAGCTCATACTTCATTAGTTACTAAATTTATTAAGGGTATTGGGTTGGAGGAATTTAGAATATAGAGGAGTTTTAAATATAATGTAAAACAAATATGTGCATTTTAGAAATACGCAAGGTGTTTTGTTGGATACAAATTAAATGCAATGAATTTTGTTGTTTATTTGATATGATGCATTTCAAACAAATTCATTTTAGAAATACAGCGGGCGTTGATAGGAGATAGTAGCAAGAGGTGGTTGTTAACGAGTGGTGACTGTGATAGGTGGCCAGTGAGGGCTACGGTGGGTGGTGTGTGGCTGATGGTATTAGGTGGAAAACTACTGGTGATGAATACGACCAATGAATGGCATAAGCTATGGCTGATTACTAGGCAACGACAATAGGTGGACAGTGGTGGCTACAGTGGGTGGCGGGTGGCCAATAACATTAGGTTGCAAACTATTGGTGATGACTACAACCGACGAGAGGCGTAAACCATGGTCAACGACCAGGTGCTGTTGATTGGTAAGTGGTTTTGAGGGGGAAAGGTGACGTGGTGTATTAAAAAATTGCACGAAGTTAGCAATTTTGAAACACACTAATAATAAACTAAATGGTGAATCCAAATAGATCAATAAATTACTTTGGATTTGTTTTTTATCCGAAAAACACTTAAATTTTTTAAGTCCTTGCATTCCTTTTACTCTACACTCAAAATATTTCAATCTAAACAACCCCTAATTGTAGTTGATTTCTTGTAAAATTTTAGATTTGGGTAATTGCTATATTTTCTTGTGGAAAGAATAAACCATGTTTGTTTTCTATATATCAAAATTGACAAATTTTGTTAAAATTATAAATTAGTAGCCTGCGTGTTACGATTTTATTTTATTTTTCATCTTGGATTATCTTGGATTGCATCGGAAATCCTATAGTCTAATCTTTCTTAATTCAATCCTTCCTATGAATGGGATTTAGTGATTATCCTTGGGATGATTTATGTGTGTGATCCAAATTTATCAGGATAGGTTGGTGTCCGATCCTTTCTCAGTGAATGAAGATCAAGGGGGGTATATTTGGGCTGATTTGTGTTTGTGTGTTTGAGAATCTGAATAGGCTGGTGTTCAAATCAAGGGAAGTACCCTTTGGTTGATTTGTATGTGATCAAAAATCTAAGGATAGGTGGGATATGTGCTTGTTTTGCTTGTATGAAGTCTTGTTCTTTCTTATGGATGATTTCTATCTTTAAACTTGTCTTTTTTATTTGCTTAGTTAGTGGTTTTACTCATGTGCTTGAAATCTTACAAATGGAGATATGTGCTTGTTTTCTTTTTGAAGCATGAACTTTATTAATTGCTGAAGTTATTCATTGTAGTTGAATTCATGTTGAATTTTAGATTTGGGCAATACTTAAATTTTCTTGTGGGAAGAATAGTGGCTTTAATATGGCTAATCAATATTTATTTTTGTCGTCAACTATAACATTCGAAAAATATTAACATATTTTCCTAATAATAATTCTATAAGTTACTATGTGGCTGTTTATAATGGAGTCTTATCCTTATATGAGATTAAACCGTCATTGTTTGATCACTTTCCTTTTTTAATCTTATTATTAGATAATATGCCGCATCATGTTGAATATGCATAGCAACTTGTCAAGCAGGCATATGCAACTGTACTCTTTATTAGAGATGATTCATAATGATTATAAAATGACGTAACTACCGTGTGTCTTGTTTAGCTATAATCCATAGCAAAGCATCTTTAATATATTATATTGAAGAATAGAGATACAGATGCTGATACAATTTCTAAAATTAAATGCAAAATGCTTAAAATCGAGAAGTGGTATTTAAGTATCATGTGAAATGAGGAGATCATAGAGTGATAATGTTAAAAATTATAAAATTGCAATCAGGCCAATTTTATTGTATGGATATGAGGCAATAAAAAAAGGCCATTGATGGTTGAGTGTGACAAAAATGGAGATTTTAAGATGAAGTTGTGGCAAAATTAGGAATGATAAATTGATAAATGATAGTATTATAGGAGTAGTTGGAGTGACATCTATTGAAGACATTATATTTGAAAATAAATTTTTGTGATTGGAACATCTACAGTTCAACTGAAAAACATATCCATTAGATTTGTGATTAAAATTAGTTGTGAAGGCTTGTGAAGGAATGTGGTTTGGCTTGTTTTAAAGAAATTGTTCAAATTAGTTTGCAAAGAATAGGTTTAAACCCAAGCAATGCAAATAGGAATGAATGGATAGGTTTTTTGGGATTGCAATACAATTGATCGCAACATATGTAATTTCTTTTTGAATTTATAAAAATGAGATAATATTGCAAGGAATATAAACAAATTGATATATTTATAGAATATATTAAATAATATTATCATGAAAATATGTTAAAGAATAAAGAAAAAAACGTAGTACAATCTCATGAAATTCTTAAAAAAAATTGAAAAAAAATGACGAATCTATTGATCATAGGTAACAACATCCAATGCAACAATAAAATAATGTAAACTGTAGTCTTCTTTGGAAGAAAGAGCATGACTACTTTACTTCTACCACATCCTATGTACAACTTCTCCATGGAAATTATTAGTTGAATCACTTGAATGGATCATTCCAGTTTCACCTGAGGAGGTCCATAGTTGAATTGCTTTTTCTAATTTTATGTTATTTTATTTGCCTTCATCACTATTTTTTAATGAAAAAATTTAATATAAATGTTTGACTTTAAGCTATTTTGCCTTCATTAAGTAATGTTTATATTGGTAGATGCTTATCCTAAACATCTTTCTATCAATTAATTCTTTAGCTTCTATTTCTTTTCATTTTAACTCAGCTCTTCTGTACATTGCCCTGCTATATTCTAGTGAGGCGATCTAAATCTTCATATTATAGCCCAAACATTGGAATATCCTGCTGCATGAGATGGAGCATTTCCCCTTTTTTCCCTGTAACTTCACATTTTCATGTTTTCTGCAATCAGTTTGATTGTGCTTACAATAACTAATTTAGGGTTTGATGAAGTGTTTAATTTAGTTATCTTGCATGGTTGTGAATATATTTAACATTAAATTAAAAATATTACAAAATGAAACAGAGTATATGCTTACGAAATATAGATTGAAATGCTTTTTCTATTTTCTATCGTAAACCTCGTAGAATTTCATATTACAACGAATCTTTTGATTAGCCCATCATCATGCTGCATGAGATTTTGTTCGAAATAGGTTTTGTTCTGTTTTGTGTTTCATACACTAAAATTCCCTTAACTCAGTCACACTATCAGGAGAAATTCATTAGTACGTCCCAGTCAGAACCTGCATTGGATTTAATGTGGGAAGGAGAAGTTTCTTCTGCAAATTTCTCTGCAGAAAAATTCTATTGCTCCAGAAAACTGCAACACAAAGAAATGCAGTCTGAGAAGAAAAAAAATAGAAACTTCACTTTTTTTTAAGCATCAGATAGAATATGGAAAAGGAAAGAGAAGAAAAATGGGGATATTTAGCGAGTGATAAGCTGCACGCAACTCTGCAAACATGAAAGATCCAACCACTCAAAGGAGCATTATTAGAAGAGGAAATCTCACTTAAAATAAAACAGTGAAATATAGGGAAGGAAAATAAAAAAAAAGAGAAATACGTGGAAAGAAAGGAGAGCAATAGATGCAGAACCATCCCTGCCGCACTCCATTGCCATGTGGTGATAACCGGCCCCCCTCATTCGCACATTTTCTAGCACCCCATCTATCTTCATGTAACTTTGTACTATCCTATCACCCCTTAGGTTGGTTGAAGCTTTTTCTTTTGTTCTTTGTGAGCGTCAGCCCACAGGTCTCCAGACTGTGGAGGTCCTGCTTCCTTTGTTCAAATTTCTCTTGTTCAACTGCTGCCCTCTGTTTTTATGTAGGAAAGCAGGACCATCTACACGATATCCTATATATTTTAGGATAATTTGGAACAGAAAGTGCCGTCCCTCCTAGCTTTATCCATACAAGTAGAATCAGCTTCTGGAATGGTTAAACAGATAGTATTTAATTTTGTTTTCATAATTTTCTAAAAGGTTTTACTTATTTATTCTATTCATGGAAGATAATGATTGCATTATTTTATGTTCAACATTGAGAACAATAGTTAATTTGATAGGAAACACTTGTAGATTTCAAGTGAATACTAGCAAGAAAGACAAAAACAGCAAGAAAACTCTTCCAAACTCCAATGAAAACCAGAAAAATAATAATTTTATTGCAAAAATCAAATATATCGGAAGAAAACAACAAGATACATGTGATCATCTATTCGAGAGGAGGATCGATCTCTCCCAATCTCTAGACGAAACTAGAGCCCAAAACCTAAACCTAAGATATCCCAAAATCAGCCAAATTCAAGATGCCCTAACCCTAGGAAAACAAAGTATTTAATGCATACAAATAATATTAAAAAAAGCATACAAATCAAAAGGAAATCCCTAAATAGTCCCTACATTCAAATTTCCCTCTCAAATCCCTCAAAAATCCTTCCTAAAATGCATCATTTGCTTCGGCGGCTCACGCGGCACTTGCAAGAGGCGGAAGTGTTCCGCCTCCGTTTCGTGAGCCGGTCCAGTATGGACCAGTCTAATATTATTCAGTACTTGAATTGTTATTTCTCTTTAAACTATCATTTCTTTGACAAAACGAATTTATAAGCTAAGTTTTATTTGCTACCCTGGTCTAAGTTTAGTTTCTGCCTTGTTTTGGTTGTTGCTTTTCTTAGTGCAGTTCACTGATTCTTGTCATCTATTTATCTACAGAGCAATAGAGAAGCTTCTGATACACGGTGGAGGCCAACATCACAGGGGCGGGGGGGTAGGGCCGGACGGGGCAACTATATTCCTCGTTATGCATCTCATGGTATTTCTTATTTGATGTCGATTGTTGATATCAGTCGATTGTTGATATCAGTAAAGTTGTGGACCTGTGGTTATACACGTCTGTTTTGGACTAGGCATACCGACCTTCATTTTGTTTACTTCAAAAGATATCTGTAATTACTTTTATGTTATCCATTTCATTAATGATCTTAAACAAAGGACTGATGTTTGCTTACTGTTGAATATGTTTTATCTTAGGTCAATATACCTTTCTGCTGTTGGTTATGCTGTTTAATAACAATTTTTGTTCTTGATGTAAACTTACATCAAATTGTTGTTGAATTTTTGTGGGTTGGGAATATAGATTGAGTGGTAAAGGGACATATCTTTACTATTGCACCATGACATTCTAAGTTGGCAAAGAGAATCTTACTAGGTCATTGCTAGATGCTGCTAACTATTTTTTTATGCAAGAGTTTGTTTGTTTTTGTCTTACAATATGAGGTTTCAAGTTCTATGCTCTGGTTCTATCTGGGCAGATTCAGATAGCAGAAGGAACATAGTTATTGCGAAGGAGAATGGAATCAGCGAAGGCGGGGGAAAAGGTTCCACATCTCCTTTGTCTCATATGCCTGTGGCTACAGAAACTAAAGCTACTACTGGAGAAAATAAGTCGACTATCCCTATATTGAGGTATATTTGTCTTCCAATTTGCAGAAAACTCTGATCTATTTGTTTTTTAATTTGTATTGATTATTTTCTGTTCGGTGTCACTTTTGGGTGCTGAGAAGCATGGATTCACTGCACTTGACCAATATTCTAGAAATATGCCATAAAAACTCCTTTTTTTAGATTAGTATACATGCGAGGTATCATAAGTTGAAGTAATATGTTGTTCTTTAACAACGAGCATTAAAAAAATAAAGTCATGATTATTGATTCTTGCCAAACTTTAGAGAATAAATACAAATTCTAAACATTGAACACAAAGCATATTTATAGGAAATGAAAAATAGAAGTATATGAAATTATGAATAAAAATGGTTTTTTGAATGGACTCTATTTAAAGTGGTAAGGTTCTGGGTCTAATTGCTTCTTAAATGTATTTTATGCATGCTGTAGCAGTTTATAACTAAATAGTTAATGTTTAAAAAGAAGCATGAGTGCCTATGCGTCATACATAAAAACTATGGGAGAGAGTGATTGATCATATGTTATGATGTGATAGTAATGTTTCTCAATATCAGTTTGGATTCATGCTGGGTAGGTTTACTATGGAAGTTACACATTTATTGAGAGGTTTGATTGGAGAAGTATAGAGAGAGTAAGGAGGATCTACATTTGATATTTTTTTTATTTTGAGAAAACCTATGATAAGTTCCAAGAGAAGTGCTCTGGAGTTTTTTTTAAAAGAAAGGAGTTAATAATATTTATATTCAAGTCATTAAGTATATGCATGTAGGTGGCTATTATTTGTGTTTAAATGCAAGATGGTTTGACCAAGTATTTTCCTATTTCAGTTGGATTACATCAAGGATCAACTCTAAGCACATATCTTTTTGCTTTAGTCATTGATGTTCTTACTAGACATTTGCAAGAAAGATGTACCATGGTTTATGCTTTTTGCTGAAGATATTCTTCTTATTGATAAGACTATGGAGGGGGTCGAAGGAAAACTTGAACTATGGAGGTCAACCTGAGAATCTAAAAATTTTCATTTAAGTAGATCTAAAACCATGCATGGAGTGTAATTTTAGTAGTAATAGATCTAGTGGGGCATTTTGACTTTGGGCGATTAAGTCATTAAAAAGAGTATACGCTTTAGATACCTCGTGTCTATTGTTCAAAGCAATGGTGAAATATATGGGGATATTATTAGTAGAATTCAAGTTTGATGGCTGAAGTGTATGAATGCTTTGGGCTTGTTGTGTGATAGAAAAATACCCCTCAAACTTAAAGGAAAATTTTATAAGATGGTGGTGACATTTGTAATGATTTATAGTACAGAATATTGGCTATTAAAAGAGAAGCATAAATTTAAGTGAAGTGTTGCAGAGATGAGTATGCTCAGGTGGATAAGTGACATTTATACTTAGAGACATAATGCAAAATGAGTATATAAGTGAAAAGGTTGGAGTAGCTCCAGTGGCAGATAAGATTTGAGAGAGTTGCCTTAGATGGTTCGAGCACATAAAACGGTGGCCTACCAATGACTTAGTTAGGAGAGTAAATGTATTAGATCTAGCTTTTGTTAAGAAAGATAGAGGTAGACTGAAAAAGATTTGTTTAGAAAGTAGTAGAAATGATCTTTTTTTAATTAGATTTAAATGGAAATTTGACTTTTAATTGGACACAATGGAGAAAAATGATTCATGTAGTCGGCCCCACGTAGTGGATAAAAGCTTGATGTTGTTGTTGTTGTTTTTGTAGAGTGCTTATGAAAATTGATGTGCTGTATAGGACAAGTTTGTTTGATGTTATACATTTGGAAAAAAACATACAGCAGTTAATCATGTTTTCTCAAATCTACTTTATCTATAGCTGAAGCTAATTCAATATATTTCTTCAAGAAAATTGTCAAAGTTAGTGCATGACAAAACAGTTTAGGCCAGTCTTTTTGAATTTTCCTCTCTTCTTTAACAGCTATACGAACTAAACTTGAACTGGGTCATGCCATTTCATGTATATGAAATGTAAAATTATATATTGAGTTTTTTATTTTTATTTTAATTAAGTTCTTAAAAAAATACTGATCTCTATTTTGTGCTGGTTTATTTTTTCATCAGCTCTTGTTTAGGCATTCTAAGCTTCCTGCAAAAAATAAACTGCTTTTTCTTCTTTCAAAAGCTTGATAATATATCTTGAGCTTACTTAATTTCCTTTGAGATTATATGAGCATGCGAATATTTTACTTTTGACTTATTTTGTTGATTTATTTATGCTTTAGATTGATTTCCAATCATCATAAGCTACCAGCAGAATGCAACAATATAATTAGCAGCCTGTGAAGTTGATTGTCTAGCTGTTTTAGATTTTACTTAAGGATTTTTTCTATGCTTTGGAAATTTTTATTGTTTAGCGTTCAGTCTTGGTTATAATCTTTTAGTCATTGCCATAGTGATCTGAAATTATCTGGTTTTACTAGCATTTGACGATTTGCAATTTGCTCATTTTTTTAGCTATGCTCCCAAATTACCTTAGGAAGATCTAAAATACAAGTGTCATGAAAATTTTAATGGTTGTGAATCAATAATTCTTCTTTATTATCATATAATTTTGTTGAGTGTGATGTTAAAACTTATTGTTTAAGATTATTAGAAGATAAGGTGATTTTTGGATGTGATGGGTTTGAGTATCATAGATCTATCATATATAAAAAAAGGAGATATTGATGATGAGAGAACTTCTAGTGATATAAAGAAGTGTCTTGCAAGTTTTGTGTTATAAAAGGCTATTATGGAGGCTTAAAGATAAATTTTATAATTTATAGACAACAATTAGGATGGTAATGTTGTATGGATTAAAGTATTGGACTATAAAAAAGTTTTTAATATCTTTTTATTTTTTGCAACATAATTAAAAGATGTGAACATGAAAGTTTATCAAAATTAGGGAGGATATATCAATGAATGTTTATTTTAGAGAAAAGATTGGAGTGACATCTATTGCAAAAAAGGTGACTGAAAATAGATTTAAGTGATTTGGACACGGACAACGAATGGTAGAAAATATGTCCATTAGACCAATTCATAAAATTAGTGTAAGAGGATTAGTAAGGATAAGGAATAAACTTAATTTTACATGAATAGTAAGTGTCAACATGATTTGTAAATAATCGATTTAACACCTCATGCAACACTCATAAAAAAATGAATGGAAAATATGGGTTTGTAATGCCAATCCCAAATAGTTGGTATAATGCTAATGATGATGATAATTAGTTCTCCTTCCACGTGTGAGAACAGAATATTATAGTTCATTTTTTTGCAAGTTTTTGGTTTAAATTCACATTAAAATATCTAGTTATTTTGTAAATTAAATATGGATTTTTTTTTTATAATGCCAAATCATATGATGGCCGGTAACTAAGTTATTGTCTTACATTGTACATGGCTTGCCTAACTGGTCATTGTATTGTGTTTTTCACATGTTGTGACTTGTGAGTCATTTTTGTTTTTTTATATTGTGGTTATATTGAGTTGGTGGTTATGAACAACGTTTGGAATCGTCTCATTGCCCTAGCATAACACTTTTGGAGTCTTCTTGCTACTGGTTGGATGTACAGTTTGAGCTTGTGTTGTGTTGCTTTGTTTGCCATTATATCTTCTATCTTTATACATTCCTTAAATTTTACTTAAAGTAAAACAGAACAAAAGAATTGTTTTAATTTTTTATTTATGTACATCATCACTAGTTTTCTCTGATCCTTTTGCATGATTGGACTCTTCAGTTCCATGTCTAACATGCCCAATGGATCTATCAAAGCTGAGCACCTGCCATCTGACAAGCTTAGTTTCAGTGTTGACTCTTCAATTGAAGGACTTTCAGCTGTGATGGTCAGTAAAGTCGGGTCTTCTTCAACTGATGGAAAGCTTTCCTTATCAAGCAGTGATCAGAGCTCCTTATCCATCTCTGTAGTTTCTGCTTCCGGTGATTATGCCTTGTCATCAGAACCAGCCATATTTCCATCTAGTGATGGACTTTCTCTCAGTGTAGTGGGTGCGATCAAGGGTGAAGTAGGGACTCATCAGTCAATAGTTGATACAACTGCTGACATAAATGTTTCTCATGATAATGGTGGCTCTAAATTGTCATTCTTACAAGAGACAATTGCATCTGAAACGAGCCATGCTTTTGTTAATGGAAAACTTAAAGAGAACTTTCTTGGAATTGAGGGGGCAAAAGTTCTTAACACTTCTCAAGCTGCATCTCCATCTTCTTCTATTACAGGTGCCTCTAGCAGCAGGCCTTCATCTAATTATAGCAATCGGTCACAACACACAGGTGCTCCTATCAAGGGTATATTTCTCATTTGAAACTCATAGATCTATTATTTTTTGTTTCTAATTTTGTTTATCATTATCCATTTTCAATTGGAAGGTAATTCAACTCCTCTCACATGAGATATCACTTATTTTTCAATCTCCAAAACTTCCTCATATGTCACATAATACACTCAAATTGTCAAATCATGCTAAAAGTTAGTAGATTTCAAGTTGGAGGGTTGAAGCGGAGGAATGCATTGGGCTTGTTGTGTTATAGAAAAGTCCCCCTCAAACTTAAGGGAAATTTATATAAGATGGTGGTGAGACCGGCAATGCTTTATAGTGCATAATGTTGGCCATTAAAAGAGAAGCATAATATAAGTTAAATGTTGAAAAGATAGGATGCTTAGGTGGATGAGTGGCTTTATTCTTAAAGACAAGATACGAAATGAGAATATACATGAAAAAGTTGGAGTAGCTCTAGTGGATGATAAGATTAGAAAGAGTCGCCTTAGATAGTTTGGTCACATAAAATGGCAGCCTTCCGATGACCCGGTTAGGAAAGTAGATATATTAGATTTGGCTTATGTTAAGAAAGGTAGAGGTAGACCTAAAAGTATTTGGTTAGAGAATTTTAGAAATGACCATTCTTTACTGGATTTAAATGAGATTTTGACTCTTAACATGACACAATAGAAAAAAAGAATTAATGTAGCCGACCCCATGTAGTGGGATAAAGGCTTGATGTTATTGTTGTATTCATTTTAATTCTTTGAATCTAGGAGGATGTATTTACATACTTAGAAGGTTGCCTACTATTGTACTTGAGTCCTTTGATCTTTATCTTACTGTTGGCGATACAATTCCTTGAAGATTGCTTGCAGAATTCCCTGTTATTGCAGTTCCAATATCTTCTTGTGGCTCTCTACTCCTATGACTCATTGTTCCTACAGGGTTCTCTGTTTAACTTGCACTAATTACTTTATGTAGGCAGGTTTTGCTTACACTTTTTTCTTTTAGGTTGATTTAGGTGAACTTGTATTATTATAAATAGGGTTTGAGCTATGTACACAAATTGAATAAATTTCTTGTTAGATTTGCTTCATTTTCTAAATTTCTTGATCAAGTGAAACAACTGAACAGCATTGAGAAATCCTATTTCCTTTTAGAAGCTAATGAATTGCTTTTTTGGCAAAGACTTTCCCTTTCTACTTTCTTCTTCTATGTTCTGTTATTGGTATGAAAGAGCGATAGATTTTAAATAAGTACATGGACTTCAAAGTTTCATGGCTTTTTTGAACATTGAATTTCTAATCATTACTTGGTAGAAGGCTATTGGTTTTTTCTTATAAATTAATGTCCATTATTCTTTCAGGTTTCATCAAAGGCAACAATGAGAGTTACTGCTACTAAACTTTTTTTTTGTGCTTGATATATGATTTTTTTGCATCTTATGTTTGATTGTATTAGAAACCCTAGATCTTAGGATGTTTACATCACTCAGCTTCTAGATCTCTAATAGCACATTTATAATGTTGAGGCATATCAAGAATTAAAAGAAATCTAGTTTAGGTGGAGAATCAATGATTTAGAAATAAGAAAGGGTAAAGAATTTGGACGAATGAACAAAGCTTCAATAGGAGGAAGATAAGGAGTATAGAGAAAGCAAACAATAGAAACAAACCATTAGGTAAGGGGGGATCTTTGAAAGGGAGGCTACAAAAAATTGAATTTTTTTATTTATTATATTATAATACCATAACGCAAGAGTAACAATCATTTCAAAGATTTCAGACTCAATTGCTTGCTTAAAACATTTTATGATGTGAAAGGTAGGAAATACTACATTTTTTGTTCCATATATAAAATATTTTTAAACTGCATCTAAAACTAAATATATATTTATCAAATAGCATGCTCCATGCATTGATTCCTTTGGGCTACAATGAACTATACCGAAGAGTTGAAATGTTATTGAAAGGATAAATCGTGATCTTTAATTGTACCACAGAGCTGCCAAAATTTTTTTAAGAAACACATGATACATCTATCCGGAGGAAGAACATACAAAGGGGATAAACAACATCAACAAACAGTCACTTAACCCATTCGCATGAACATGATCAGCTGTGGAAAGACATCTTTGAAAACTTGAAGGCCTTCTTGCACTCAAATAAATTGACTTAATTGTTGGCATTACTATATTTTTAATTTTTTTATTTGGGTTCATGGATGGATATTGATCAATTGTGTTAGGGTAAAACCTAATTGAGCTGATTCAAATTTGGCAAATTGGATAAAGCTTGCGAGAATTGCATGGGATATGTGTAAGCACTCTTTTGAGCAGGTGGATGTGTGGAGCGGTGGTGCAAGTGAGGGAGTTGTAGGCCATAAATGTGAAACTAGCGAACAATGTTGCTGGTGCAATAGAGCTAAAGAAAGGTGCACATTATGCATGATTAGTATGAGAGAGTAATTGTGAATAGACAATAGGTAGACAATGATCGATTTAGGACCACAATAAGTGGGTGAGTGCATGCAATGCAACAAATTCAATAAACTAAGATGGAATTGCAAGGGGAGCATATACATGTGGGAACGTCGATTGCTTGAGGGTTGTATGAGTTTGGTGCAAGTTGTGATCATGACGATGAAGGTTGAGCAAGAAAGCCTCAAAGCATGGACTATTGATGGAATGATGGATGTGAGTGGAGACATGTTGGTAATTGCTAGGTTAGATGAACGGCAAAGATACAAGCTAAATTAAAGGGAGAACATGCGTGTACACATTAAGCAAGATGTAATGTGGAATTGCAAGCGATTGTGTAATTATGATGGCTACAAAGTGGACTTGGTCGGGGAGGATGAAGATGTGGTGAATGAATTTATTTTGGGCTTTAATTACCAAATTGAGAACTATTGAACGAAAGTTTGAAGATTTTAATATAGCAAAATAAGAGAGTCTAAGAGATAAATAGATATTGAAGAATAGATGAAAGTAATGGCTTAATAGGGAGGGAGATAAGAGGAAGAGATGAAGATACAAGCCTCAAATCTAGAGGAGGAGAATCCTAAGTGATCGGCGGCGATCCTCCACTCGACGATCTCCAATTGTTCCTCGATGGCTTCCACCAAAGTATCCAAGATCCGCTCGTTATAATCTTCCATTGTGTGGTCGACCCTTGGGTTGACGTCGAAGAAGGTTGAACGTCAGATGCATACAAACCTGTGCTCGTCGTAGGAGAGTCCGTATTCTGTCTCTGGGTCAGCCATCCCTGGAGGACTTTGCTGTTTTGAGTTGGGGAAGCACTAAACACCAAGGGAAGTCTTCTCCGACGAGGGGAAGGCGGTTCGGGCTGAGGGAAAAATAGTGGACAGCAGTTTCGCTTTCCAAAGCAGTAGTTCTAGAGCCTCCAAGTGTTGAGATGCAAGGCCAATGGCTGAGATTTCAGCTGCAGTCATAGGGAGTAGGAAAATCCATGCTTTGTGGAGTTTTGGAGAGGTTTAGTGTAGGAAATCCAGCGGGAAAGCCTAGGAGAAATTCGTCCAGCAGGGGAAGAGGGGAAAGGATTTAATTCCCAAAATAGAATACTGAATTTTAGTCGATGAATAAAATAGCAAGATACAATTGATCCTCAATTCGAGAGGAGGATCGATCTCTCCCAAATCTCTAGACGCCGCTAGAGCCCAAAGAAACCTAAATCTAAGAGATCTCAAATTTCAGCCAAATTCAAGATGCCCCAAACCCTAGGAAAAACATCTATTTAATGCCTACCAATCAAAATGAATTCCCTAAACAGTCCCTACATTCAAATTTCTCTCTGAAACCCCCCAAAAATCCTTCCTAAAACGCTCTATATGAGCGGTCGGGCCGCTCGTTCTGGCGAAATCTCCGCCTGTTTTGCGATTTCGCCCGTGAACCGGTCCCGCCTGGACCGGTCTAACAGAAAAGGATAAAGATAAAGAAGAAAATCACTAATCCGACCGTCTCCAAGGTTGATGGGTGATCCGATCTCCCTCTCCTAGGGATTTCTCTCAAATCAAACTCTCAAGCTCTCACAAGAACTCATGCAAGGAAAAAATTTTAATCAATCATTCATTACCCTCAAACAACAAAACAAGGGGCTATAAATAACCTAGTACATGAGACTCAAGAAATAGAAAGACGAAAATGCCCTCGGGGATTACATACGACATCAATTTACTGGAAGGGTAAAACGAGAAATAAAATAACAGAAAATAAACAAAATACAACGACACATAATTAAAACAATACATGACATAAATCAAAAGTACAATGACTCGATCGTAGTCATAGATCGGCGGCCACGCCTCTGATAAACCTTCCAAAATCTGATGTCCCCATCACTAAGAGGAGAGACCACAAGAAATTTCAACTCACAAGATATTTTGCTAAATTTTTTAATGAAGAATGTGAAAATACGATTGACTTTAGTGACCTTAGTACCCTAAATGAAAATAAAGATTTATATTTTTATTGACGTATTAGTAAAACTGAAGTCAGAGAGACTTTAAAGGTAATGAAGTGTGGAAAAGTTGTTGGATGTGATTATATTCCAATAGAGGTGGAAATGCTTAGGAGATGAAGGAATTTCTTGGCTTACTAAACTTTTTAATACTGTTTTGAAAACTAAAAAGATGTCAGATGAGTAGAACGAGAGTGTTTATTCTTATTTTTAAGAATAAAGGTGATGCACAAAATTATGCGAATTATAGAGGAATTAAGTTAATCTATCATACTTTAAAATTATGGGAGCGAGTTATGGAGCGTAGGTTGCGGTGTGATACTAATTTTTCTCAAAATCAATTTGGATTTATGCTGGCTGGGTAGGTTTACTATGGAAGCCATACATTTATTGAGAGGTTTGATGGAGAAATATAGAGAGAATAAGGAGGATCTAAATATGATATTTATTGATTTAGAGAAAGCATTGATAAAGTTCCAAGAGAAGTGTTATTGAGAGTTCTTGAAAAAAAAAGTATTAATAACACTTATACTCAAATCATTAAAGA